CGTAGAAAAAGGTTACTCAACATGCTGATCGGATGCCATATATGTTCACGAACCCTTTTGTAGGGTTACGGTAGGATTATGGTTCAAAGTTAGAATCTCAATTCGTTAAAACTTTGCATAGGAGAGTTACTCGACATGCTGATCACAAATATCACACTTTTTCCGCATAAAAAAAGTCTCCCTGTATGACTGCAGTAAGTATATAATAGAAAGTCAAAACCGTCGATCTCCCTAAAACTTCATGCAGAGATGTTATCCAATGTGCCGATCAGAACATCGCGCTCATTTCACATAAAGCCACTTCGCGGATTTTTGGAATATTGATTAGAGTGAATGTCAGGAAACAGGCTTACTTAAACGCTGCAAACTACCATAGCTCCGCAGTATAGCGTTGTTGCAACGTGCAAGCCCGATATCCGTTATCAACATGCTTAAAACCCCTCTAAACAACGTTTTGAGCAAATTTGGTTTCACCTATCAACCGCACACCCACCGTAAATCGAATGGCGCTACCATACAAAATCAATATAATATTCATGTTCAGAGTGCTAGATAACCATTCCAGGCCAAATAAAACCCAGACTTAGATTTTTACCCTCCCCCCTCCCTTACCGTATACCCACGTAACCGCACAAAAAGACATTTTCGAGCGAGAAAAATGTGATATTCGTGATCAGCAGGTCGAATAATTCCCCTGTGCAAAGTTTTAACGAATTTTGAGATTTCAACTCCTACCGTATGCCTACCGTAATCCAAAAAAGAAGCCACCACGCAGATATCATTTTCATAATCAGCAGGTGGAATAACCCCGTAGACGAATACTGAAGAGCCGAGACGAGAAAACATGTGGAAGACGGATCAAAGAAGATGAAACAGATACTCAAAGTGAAATTAATAGTGTCTCATGTCTGCATGACTTCTATCTATATAAAACCGAATGGTGTACTTGTCTGTACGTTGGTGGATAAGCATGTTGATGCTGTCTGTACGTCTTCGATGGTGTTTTTCTGGTTTGCGACAGTGTTTTCGTGTCTGTTGTTTTCCAGTAGGGAAATTTGACATGTGGGATGTCTGCTGCCCTTTGCTTCGATTCTTCATTTAGTCATCATTGCGTATTTCGACACGCTGGGATGGTCGCGTGCCTTTCTCTTTGATTTTGGATTTCATTTTTGTACTTTTCGACACGTTTCTTAGGCGGTTGATAATGGTTGTCCTTCTTGATTCGTTCTTCAGTGTAGCTATTGCGACAATTAAAGGCAGTGGATCGGCAAAACTCAACAACCCACGGTTTCGAAACGGTAGGTTGCTTATCGCTCAAGTATGGGAACAGTGCAATTCCGGTTGCATAACATGCCTTCTCTGCCGAGAAAATTGCTCTTAAGCTTACACGCGCAAGCCAATCTTACACGCGCCGGACGAGTTGGCAATTTCCTTCTCACCATTGGAGGCTGCCCGCCGCAATGCTTTAATCATTGGGTCCCGCAACGATTCAGCGTCGTCAGCCTTGCCTCCACTCGTCCAATTTCAAAGGAAAGGGCATCGAGAAACGCTCGTTTTCGCCGTTTTCAAGCTCCCTAGATTGGATTTTTGGGATCAGCGTAATGAATAACCCCAGGTAAGCAGAAATTTGACCAGGTTAGGATTTGCCGAACCACTGCCTTTAAAGCGCTCCGCTTTGAAGTTGTATCATGTCGGCATTACATATTCCATCATTTTTTTACGCACTGAAAAAAATTGTTCTGTTCCATCTTAACTATTCTTTTTCGTAATATAGTTCTTTATAGCAAAAAAGTGTTCTGCAATCTCGCATCGCTCCTTCATTTTGGTGTATTTGTTTCTGGCCAATTGGGCACCCATGGATGGAGGAATTACAACTTGAACATGGGTTTTTCTCTTTTCGATCGTCCTTCACGTATTTCTTCTCGTGCCACACTTCTTGATTTACCTTTTGAGCAGAATCATTTCGATATTGCATTTTTCATCATACTTTTTACGTTGCTGAAGAATTTGTTTTCATCTTAATTATGCTTTTTCGTATAGTTCCCTGGAAAAAATGTTCTGCAATTTTGCATAAGTGCTTCTTTAGGTGTACTTGTTAACCAACTGGGCACACGTGAAGTATTTTGAAGAAATTACATTTTGAACATCAGTTTTGTTAATTCTCGATCATCCTCCCCCTATTTCTTCTCGTGTCCCACCTCTTGATTTCAAAATATCAGGAAATTTTGAAATCAAGAGGTGGGACACGAGAAGAAATAGGGGGAGGATGATCGAGAATTAACAAAACTGATGTTCAAAATGTAATTTCTTCAAAATACTTCACGTGTGCCCAGTTGGTTAACAAGTACACCTAAAGAAGCACTTATGCAAAATTGCAGAACATTTTTTCCAGGGAACTATACGAAAAAGCATAATTAAGATGAAAACAAATTCTTCAGCAACGTAAAAAGTATGATGAAAAATGCAATATCGAAATGATTCTGCTCAAAAGGTAAATCAAGAAGTGTGGCACGAGAAGAAATACGTGAAGGACGACCGAAAAGAGAAAAACCCATGTTCAAGTTGTAATTCCTCCATCCATGGGTGCCCAATTGGCCAGAAACAAATACACCAAAATGAAGGAGCGATGCGAGATTGCAGAACACTTTTTTGCTATAAAGAACTATATTACGAAAAAGAATAGTTAAGATGGAACAGAACAATTTTTTCAGTGCGTAAAAAAATGATGGAATATGTAATGCCGACATGATACAACTTCAAAGCGGAGCGCTTTAAAGGCAGTGGTTCGGCAAATCCTAACCTGGTCAAATTTCTGCTTACCTGGGGTTATTCATTACGCTGATCCCAAAAATCCAATCTAGGGAGCTTGAAAACGGCGAAAACGAGCGTTTCTCGATGCCCTTTCCTTTGAAATTGGACGAGTGGAGGCAAGGCTGACGACGCTGAATCGTTGCGGGACCCAATGATTAGAGCATTGCGGCGGGCAGCCTCCAATGTTGAGAAGGAAATTGCCAACTCGTCCGGCGCGTGTAAGATTGGCTTGCGCGTGTAAGCTTAAGAGCAATTTTCTCGGCAGAGAAGGCATGTTATGCAACCGGAATTGCACTGTTCCCATACTTGAGCGATAAGCAACCTACCGTTTCGAAATCGTGGGTTGTTGAGTTTTGCCGATCCACTGCCTTTAATTGTCGCAATAGCTACACTGAAGAACGAATCAAGAAGGACAACCATTATCAACCGCCTAAGAAACGTGTCGAAAAGTACAAAAATGAAATCCAAAATCAAAGAGAAAGGCACGCGACCATCCCAGCGTGTCGAAATACGCAATGATGACTAAATGAAGAATCGAAGCAAAGGGCAGCAGACATCCCACATGTCAAATTTCCCTACTGGAAAACAACAGACACGAAAACACTGTCGCAAACCAGAAAAACACCATCGAAGACGTACAGACAGCATCAACATGCTTATCCACCAACGTACAGACAAGTACACCATTCGGTTTTATATATATAGAAGGATTAGATCGCCGAATAAGCGCAAGCATGAAGATTTGCACATACTGGCGCAGATTGTTTCATGCTTCTATATCTTTTACCCACCTACTCTCCAAAGAGCGACACTGAAATTCCAAAGAGGAGATGATAACAAATCATTTTTCTACGAAAAGAGTGATGGGAAGCTCATTTTTGCAATTGGGATTTCCCTTGGCTATAGAACCATGGAAAATCCGGGAAGACTACTTATTTCCAACAAAAGCGAAGCTCAGGAATGCAAACCCAGACTGTGTACATGTCCCACAGATTGTCTCCGAATATTAACCGACCTGCTGTACAAGGTTCCGCATGATAGGAAACGAACCCCTTGCCAATCGCTTTATGGTCCAAGCTACTAACCACTCGGCCATTGGATCACCATGCTATAAAGCCACGTGATCATATTCAGGCTGAGTGCATCTTTGGGATTTTGGAATAAAAACCCGTAATTCCTCGACGAGGGGGCCCAAAGCAGACAACGAAAATAGTTTTATGATCAGAGTTTAAGAGTCTACAAGACACTATACACTGCTTGCCTGTCTTTGGTAATTTTTTGGTTAGGCTTGAAATATTTCAAATGCTCGCAAGAGAATAACCTTGACGTGCCATTCAAAATCTCATAGGCTAAATAATACCAGATCTAGGAAATTTCTACTATGACAAAAAAATGTAAGCATAGTATTTAAAATCTGATGACGGCTGTATACCGATTATCTTCACACATATCTACAGAGCTCATCAAACGCAGTGTCGCTTGCATCAGCATCTCCACTCCCGCGTTGGACTCTGCGTCTCTTCCTCGAACCTGCTCTTTAATCACTTCCAATCGATTTAGGCTCCGCCTTTCCCACGCTCCCCTGGGAAAGTGATCAGAGAGCATGTTCTCGGAAGAGTCCAGCGCGGGAGTGGAGATGCTGATGCAAGCGACACTGCGTCTGATAAGCCCTGTACATCTTGTAACATTGCGCCACCCTTGACCAAGTTCATGATCCAGTACGGCGCGGCTATTTTTCTTCTGCGCGTTGCGCAAGATGCGCTGATTTAGCGATGGAAAGTCGTGAAACATGGAGAAGTTCGATGATCCAGTTTCTGACAACAAGCATATCGTTGAGCTGATAATTCGAGGCAGAATTTAGAAGGGCACGGGAGAAATAGAGTCATCAATACGGTTAAGGAAACGGCAAAAAAGACATAGAAAGTAGAACGAAGACAGCTGCTCAAAGCAGAAAAAATGTCTCGTGATTTTAGAGTCTAAGAATGCGAGAATCAATCGAAAGTGGTGCAAATCACACAAGCAAATTGTTAGATTGAGTAGATGCAAATGGTTGGTAAATATTAATGTATGTTAATATGTACATAGAGTAACATTCATTTTTCAGCGATACTACTGAGTATGCCAAACATACTTACAGCTTTCTTACTGTTAGTTTATTCTTTATCAAACTTATGCTTGCTAGTATGCAGGACGGCGGCTCTCCACCACTCCTAATCCAAGATGGTACTATGAAAAAGAGTGTGCCTGCACACCATCGAAGCTATGGTTAGACGTAGTGATCGTGATTGATAATTCATTAGGCATGCCAAAAGAAGAACTAGATAAGGTAGATGATTTTTCCTTTAGCAAAATCTAATACGCCAGATGTGATTCCAAGGCGTCTGGTGAATCTGCAGATCATTTATCGCTTTTGTAGGCATTAACGAATCTCTGTAAAGTTTTCGCTCAAGTTACTATTACGCAAGGCGAAGGTCATCAGTCTCGAGTTGGGGTGGTCACATACGGAATCAAAGCAGATGCAGTAAGGCTAAGCGCGTTTGCGTTATTGCGCTTTCAAAAATTCTATTATTCAGAGACACAACCTGACCGAGTTCAACTCTTTTCATGAATTTTGTAACAGGATTATGAAAATTCGGCAAACAAACGCGACTTCAAGCAACTTAAAGGAGTTAGTTTTTTGAGATTATTTTAAGGAGTACGGTACGGTTTGATAATAAATTTAATACTAGAGGTCTTGAGAAAGCAAAACAGATGTTTCGTGATGGCCGACCTAGTGGATTTAGGAAAAACGTCAAAGAAGTCATCCTGATTCATGCCAGCGTTTACAAGTCAGGCAAGATTTAGCAACGTTGTTTCTCCATGTGCCAATATTCTTCAGTTTGAGGCAAAGCCACTTCGAGGATGCTAAGCCGTTAGCAGATCAAATGAAGATCAGCGGAAAAGAAATCGTCGTTGTTGCATTCGACCAACGTGACAACCCTCGTGCTTTGATGCAAATCCGCGAAGTATGTGACGCCTGCACTGGTGCACTAGCAGTTATGATAAAATTGTTTCAAAGCTACAGATCGCCACTGAGGGATTCTACTACATTTATGAAGAATATTACATTTTCGGAGATGTTCAGCACGCGCTTTGCACAGGTAAAATCAGAACTAGGGTCGAGCAAGAGGTGTGGCACGGGATTGCCGAATACAACACCCCCCCCCCCCCGCTTGGGTCGTGCCCTGGTACGACCCTTTCCCCCTGTACCCTCAAACGTCCTTTTCAACAAGAATAGAGGAAAATACTGGCAAGAAGATTTCCAGAATCAAGATAAATGTGATCAAACAACAATTATGGGAGGTTCAGAATGTTGTGGAAAATTAACTAGCAACATGCCATAAACTTGGGCTTTGAGGATATCGCGCTGCTCAAAAGGGGATTGATTCAGATATCTGAAATAAAGACATCAAATAAAGACATAGATGAAGTGTAAATAGAATAATACGCGAGAAATAACCTTAGGTAACTTAGTGCCCGATGAATGTTGCCATAAATACCATAACAAGGTCCTATTAAATAAGCGCTCAAAATCGAAAAAAAACCAGAGAACTTCTTATGACCTGTCGCATTCCCTGCCTAATGCTGGGACCGACGATGTAATTTAAAGAAAGACATTGCTTCAAATAGTCTAGCACTGGTGGCTATGGTATAAGAACTCTAGGCATGTAGCTTAGAAGGAAGCAGAAGCAAAAAGACTAAATAAACACCTGTTGTTACAATTTCCGCCGCAAACTTACTGTACACTCTAGATTGAAAGTTATTTTGTCTGCGATTGCCATTTGCACAAACAACAAACACTCCGTTCCAAATGTTTTTGCATAAAGTGAAAATCGACAAAAAAGTGAGACAAAAATATGGGGACTGCGGAGAAAGCGATGACATTGGCAACTATCTACCGCTCTAATTAGCTTGAGGCCTAATGTATTTAAACTTTCATCAATGGAGGAGATGAAACAGCAATCGATTGAAAAGTTAAAACAACAAGATTAGCACACTAAAGAACGCTTCCGTTCACAATCTCGAAAAGGAAAAAGAGTTTAGAGAAATAACAAGCCAACTCCTCGTGCAAACTTTCTACGTTCATTTTTATCTCGTTTAGTGGCTGTCCAAAACAACAAAAATATACATGAAAGTATAATAGATGAGAGACGAGCTCACAGAACGTGCAAAATTTTCGTGAATTCGCGGAATTCTGGGAATTACGCGACATTCAGGGAAAATCACGCGAATCACGCAAACTACGCAGCCCCATAACCTCCTTCGAAATGAATATATTGGAAATTCGAAAAAGCACTGTGCTCAGCTCACCAAGGCGAATTTGTCACATACAGCATGTCCTCGACGTTCCATTTCCCGTCATTTCAAGTTTTTCTGCGTGGTTTTTTCGCAAGGATGTAACGCAGCGCACATCACACATAAAAGGTCCCAGTAAGCACTGTTCGATAGTGCTGTTTCCGTAAAATATCGAACGCCAGGAAGCAGCTGGAGACTTCTTTTCAAAAGCGATGAAAGGGCTGGTCAATTCTTGAAAATCATGTTGTCACAACAGATTGGAGCCTGAGAATTGCATCGTTCCACAGCGTGGTTCCGAACGACTGCCTATGAATCTAAACAGGCAAGTTCTCCGTTAGATATGCAAAAAGCGCAGGATTCACAAACTTTTGTGGCCTAACTACAGCTTCCTCACCATATCTCTTCTAGAAGACTTTGCGCTCCGCAAAGACCACGATTCTCGTGAACAGCGGCCCAAGAATCTAATAAGTCCATCAATGTTTTGGTCAAAACCCATCGGAGAGTTTCAGAGCGTAAAACGAGAAAAATCAAGTAGCTCGCACTCCTTGGAAAACCTGCTCATAGTCTGACCTACTGAATACGAAAATCACATCTGCTTAGGTAGATAGCCTCCTAAATTGAGGTTACGGTTGATAGAATTTGTGACAACATGATTTTCCAGAACCAGATCTTCTAACGCTTTTGAAAAAAATCTCTGACTGCTTCCTGGCGCCCGATGATCTATGGAAACAGCACTATCGAAGAAGGCTTACTGGGATCTCTTATGTGTGACACGCGCTGCGTTACATCCTTGCGAAAATACGTCCGCTGAGAAATTCAAAATGATTGGAAATGGAATATCAAGGCCATAATGTATATCAAAAGATTCGCCTTGATGAGCTGAGCACACTGGTTTTCTCGGATATCGAATATATTCATCCAAAGGAAGTTATGGCATGCGTATTGCGAGAATTGCGTGATTTCGCAAAGTTTCCGGAATACGAACTTCCCGGAATGTCGCGGCATTTACGGAAATTTTCACGTTCTGCGAGCGTGTTATAGATACAAACAGGAAGAGTTTAGAAGCACGAACAAATAAAGCTGATATCCAAAAACTAAACCTTGGCGCTTCTCTTACATTGCGCCAAGCGCAGATTTTGGCGTACTACCGACCCAATATTTTTGGCGCACCGAGATGGATGGTAATGAAAAAGTTTTTATGTCTTTTTATGAGAACGTCGATATTAAGTGAACTTTGTAAAATAAAAAGTGTAAGGTTCAGCAATTTCAAGAACAGGACAAACAAATGTATGCTGCTTCTAAAGATAAGTTAAGTAGGGTGTGGCAGCCACGCTTTATCGAAAGTTGCGTCAACTCATCTTCAAAACACGTTTAACGTATTATGTAATAGACAGTTTCGACTGTCTTTTTTTGTAATATACATACGTGTCCTTTGAGCCTGATTCTTCTTTACTTTGTGTATTGTTTGTTGAAAGTTCATCCCGTGGAAGCGAGAAATGGGGCAAACTATATCTTGACGGGCTCCTATTTCCACATTTTGGTGATTATTTGAAATATGATTCTCAATATGGGCAGATAAGGAGTTATGCTTTGCATTGAGTTCTAAAAAGGTGACTAAGGCCTGCATGCACGGGCGGCATGGCGTTATGGAGCAAAGCTACGCCGCATTTGTCTATGGTATATCCTGAAGCCCCTTTGCGTTGCGTCGCTCCTAATTTCAGTAGCAAAGGAGCTAGCGCTACCCAGCCGATTGAGCCATTGTCCTTATTCTCCATAGATTAGTTTCTCTGGGAAAGTCATTGACGAAAAATTTCTATCCTTCTTCTCTACTGATTCTCGTGTTCCAGCTCTCTTGAACACTTTCAACTCAAATCCAGCATTGAATCATCCCAGATTCCGCCTTTGATTCATCCTTGAGATTCATCAGTTTTTTTTATTTGAATTTTTTTATTGCAGTCTTCTTTGTCTTCTTTATTGCATTTATACAGTTTAAACATATCAGGTCGTAATGATAGGGAATGGCTCATTCTGCTGGCAGGAGCAGCGCTACTCCTGCTCAATTAAAGGCGACGCAACGCGAACGGCCCTCAAGGGAAACGCGGGGGAATGCGGCTTAGCTTTGCTCCATAACGCCTGCCCCCCGCATGCACGTACATCCCCGCTGGGGAGGGGATCGCAGCTCAAAAGAAAGCTTCTTATTTCGAAACTCCAGATACCTGGATTTCACGTTGTGTACCTATCCGTAAGTATTCCTACTATCCTTCACTATGAATATGTTGAACAAGGCGAGAAGCTGTACAAACCGCATTTTCCAGCTTTTGTATGATCCCTGATATCCCCAGCGCTTTTCTCTAAAGTCATTTTTCTTTCTCCGATGTTAACGAAGAACTTCCAAAGTCGTGCAGATTATCTATTCCAACAGTGCTAAGCATGTTGCTGATTAGAACAAATGATGTTTTGAAGTCATGAAATTTTCGACGATCCGCAGGTCGAAATTGGGGTTTACCGAAAAACTCGATTTTTCAAAAACTCATTTGTTCTCATCATCAGCATGCATAGCACTGTTGTGTTAAATGTTCAGTGCAACCTTGGAAGGTTTTCGTTAACTTCGGAGAAAGAAAAATGACTTCAAAGAAGAAAAGCGCCGAGGATCATCAGAGATCATACAAATGCTGGAAAATGCGGTTCGTACAGCTTCTCGCTCCTGTTCAACATGTTCATAGTGAAGGATAGTAGGAATACTTACGGACAGGTAGACAGCGTGTAATCCAGATATCTGGAGCTTCAGAATATGAAGCATTCTTTTGAGCTGCAAACCCGTCCCCAGCGGGGATGTTAGTGCATGCGCCCCTAGGTATCTTTCTTCTTCCTTCCCTATCTTGCTTATGATGGTTCTCATAACCTAATACCTGCGCATAATTGATGCCAGGTTACTGGCATAATTGATAAGATTTTCACTAATTTGTGTGATCCCCTGAGATCCCCAAGTGACCCCAGGGATCACCTCTCAATTTCTAGGCCATTTATCTTCTGAAAACTCAATGAAACGCTGTAAAATCGTACCATGGATATACTACAGCATTGCTAAACATGTTTATAGTAGAAGTAAGTGAAATCTCAGGATATCGAAATCTTCGGTAATCCCTAGCTCGCGAGCTAGGGATCATCGAAAAATTCACCTTCAGATTCCATTTCTCCTGTCGAAAACATATTTAGTAGTGCTGTTAACCACAGTGCAATTTTACAGTGTTTCATTGAGTTTTAGAAAAAAAAATGGCATTGAAATTGAGAGGTGATTCCCTAGGGATCCCTAGGGGATCTCCAGGAGATTATACAAAATAGTGAAAATCTAATCATATGCCACTAACCTGGCATCAATCATGCGCAGGTATTAGGGTATGAGAGCCATCATAAGCAAGATAGAGAAGGAAGAAGAAAGATACCTAGAACAGCAAGATATGACGCATCCCCTCTCAGATTCCCTCCCCTCCCAAGCGGGAATGTACGTGCATACGGGCTTGAGTCACCTTTGAAATTAAGTTATTCATGTTTGAAAATGACCATGTCACTTGTGTGGTCCAATACTTGAAAACCACAAAATTCGCTAAAACTCGGTCCACAAGGGTTATGGACATGCTAGACGAAATTGATACTTATCATGTTTGGTGTGGCTTCTTTATGCTTTTTCGTATACGATGGGAGAATTTCTCAGGTCTGCTTCTTCTGCATGAGATTTATCCGACTTTGCTAACAAATGCTTTAGCGCGAACATCAGTATCAAGTCGATTACAACACCTCTTGCCTCTCTGACCCCACTGTACGACTCCCCCCCCCCCATCCCCTGTGTGGCATGCCGTACCCCTCACTTGACTCTTATCAGAACTAGACCAAGCTTTTGCGAGTCGTATATTTCAGCGAACTGTTTCTGCAGAAAAAAATGGCTACAGTACACCCTGGACACTTTGAGATTTGGATCATGCCTGAGAATAGGTGAAATTTTATTATAAATGTTTTCTATGCCTAAAGCCATCTATATAGGTCCTGGTCAGTTCAACTGGGAGCAGGCTAAGCGAGCGTGCCTCCGAATAGGCCATGAATCCGGTCATCTTGCCACTGTTTTCAGCAAGGAGAAGCACAACTTCATTGCTTGTCATTACTTACAGATTTTCAGTCATGCTATCATTTTCCTCTTTCAGGCAATGACGCACCTTTTCAGTGATGTTTATAAATGACAGCCGTGTGGAATCGCCTTACATCTACCACATTGGTCTCTCATATGATACGAAACAAAGCGATTACTTATGGGAACAGCCTGTAGGCTCGGATCCAGCGAAGATTCCTGTACTTGTTTTCTCTATCATGGATTTTACGTCATGACGTCGATGAGCTTGGATTTCAGTTGCGAGGATCCAGTTTTCGGATTTGGAACCGGGGCTATCCATCTCTGTCTGGCGGAAACTGCGTAGATACTGCTCAGTATTCTACGAAATTCGAGGTTGGCGCTGCATATAATTTTATGCTGAAAGATCTAGAATCATGCTCGTTTCGCTACACTAAACAAGTTCATTGCAGTTTGGTTGGCAAAATATACACTGCAGATACGTGTACAAGCCTTACATCTGCCAGATGAATTCCTGCGATACAGATAATTATTGCGCTAATATTGAGGAATAAATTGTGCTAGCGTTATACATTCAGTTGATTAGTACTTTTGAAAGCCTGTGAAAAATTTGTTCTTGTAGTTATGCAGGAACTTATATCTCATCCTTAAAGACAGTGGATCGGCAAAATGAGACCCGTGCCAAAACAAGGTCACAGGGTAGGAGCCCTCAATAAAGGAACCTATGGGCCAAAGTTCGATCTTTCTCTGCCAATTCTAACCCACGAAATCTCAAAGCGAAGCAGCGCTCATATTCTCAGCAGCGCTCAGCCCGCCCACCCCATGGACGAGTGAACGCGAAGCCTGCCATCTCAGACACTCGCGGTTGACTCGCGCAGGGCAAAACGATGTGTAGCCATTGAATGCGTGGGCGACTCGCGAAATCGGTGTCGCGGCAAAATCAGGACACCTGATTTTGTGTCGCGGCAAAAGTGCGCGGCAAAATCGGGGCAAAATGGGGAGACCTGCGCGAGACACCAAAATGTCGCGATCGCGTTCAGAGCACGCGGCCTACGCCCTTACTGACAGCTTTTTGCGTCCTCTAAGCCCTCTCTCACGCCTTCCTTTTGACTTACCTTGAGTCCTTGGTCACGTTGGGTCCCGTTTCCCACGCTTGTTTTTTTTCTGCTGATAAACCCAGTCTTACGTCATAAAATTTATTAGCAAATACCACATGATCTTCTCGAGTAGCGTTTACAATAACATCGAAATGAGACAGGAATCAAAGCACCGCAATCACGACACAAGGTTACGAAAGAACTACAGTTAAGAATGACAACAGCATTAATTTTTTACGACTACTTCATCTTCATCTTCAACGTTTTCAGTCTTCTGGATCGTTACGCCTTCTTTGGTAACACTGCTGCCTTCGACCATGACGCGCTTTTTCTGAAAATAAAAAATTATTGTTACCAGGATCGTATAAAACAAACGAATTACCTTTGATGGAAGGAGCATGGACCTGTCAGGGTCAAAATGATACCTCCCGATGTCTTCCCTGCAAAAATATAGTTCAGAAGTATCGCTTTCCTTATGAGAAAACTCACAAAGCTCTCCCATTTGCTATCCTCGCCTTACCGCTCCATACTACTCTTTCCTCTGAGAGGACGTCGAATAATTTTTCGCAAGCGTCGTCATTTTCGGCTAAGTCCAACCACCACCTAAATTCTAGTGCACATGAAGGTCTTTCGAGAACATACATACTTATTTGGATTCCGTTTATGCTCATCTGGCGTCCGCAGAAGTTGGTCGCGGTGTAGGCCAAGGGCGTCAAGGATGAAACCTAAATCAGTTATTGAAAGTAATGTACTCAAACACACATTGACCCACTTATTAAGAAATCGACTAATCCTTCCGGGAGGTCCTTAAGATGGTCAAATTTCTCCTTCTTCCCGCTCTGTCTACAGGCGTACTGTTAAATTTCCGTAGGTGGTTCGCAGGCCTAAACGGTGATTACAAGACGACCTTATCATCTTCATCTATCTGTCGCTTACATTTAGAAAGAAGTGGCGCAAAAAGTCGAGCACCAAAAGGAAATGATCATGCTTGTGCGCGCGTTTTGGTCTCTGCCACTTTTCCATGACTTCAACCATATTGAACTCCTGAAATCAATAATTTTTCCTCGTTGACTGAGAATAGTGGCTAAAGACCTTGAAGGGTGGTGCACTCTCACGATGCCAGATCAACGTGTTTTTATATTTAGTATCAAATTATGAGCATGTGTGGCAGTTTATTACAGAATGCTCAAAACACAATAACGTGATTCAAAAAATTGCTCTGAGCTTGCTCAAAGCCTTTGCTCCTTTCGAGTGGTTTGCGCAGAACTTCGCATGGACCGAACTTTCTAGCTAGCTACCCCACTACCACCTGCGGCGAAAACATAATTGCAAATGATGAATAAGCTTCCCATCAAGTATCCATGTTGATTGTACCTGTTTTACATGTTTTTGATCCAATTGATCTACCAACATTGCCCAATTCAGAACTTTGCACGGTTTTTCCATTATCTCCGAGATTTGATGTAATTAAGTTGCAATGAGGGTTTCCTTGCCTTAGGGACCTTCTAATATAACCTTAAACAACTTGCAAAGATTGTGGCTGCAAAAGTGGTCCGAACTCTTTACCACTTGCTCCATAGTCTCCGCAGGTATCCACTCGACCACCTGTCCACATCTGCATGCCCTTGGCGCCGCAAGCTCAATGCGAGCCTTAGCCGCATCTTGGGTAAACCATCGCTCATAACTTTGCCCAGAAAATCATTGAGCAGCTAAGGATCACGAATTTGGCATTAGTGCCCCAAGAGCAGCAGAATGATATGCATCATGTGTGGAAACCCCACTTCGATGGATGATCCTTCCCTTGTAAGTAAATTCCGAATTCCGGCTAAGCCAACTGTCAGAAATGATGACGTGCGGGATGAACAATGTGCATAAACTCTTTCATCTTCCGAATTGAGTACAAATCACTGAAAAAAAAGGCGAGAGTCAAATGAGTGATTTTTCTAAACTCGTGAGATGCGGTACGATAAATGTGAGCTATGCCAGGTAAATTTTGAACTGGAATTGTGTACTCTAAATAATATGGAACTGGAACCGGCAATATTGATGCCAGTTTTTGCACAGAGTTGAACCGTAGATGACATTCTTCATGTGATGAAAAATCTGCTTTAAGAAGTTCAGAAAAAGCATTACAAGCAACCGCAGTTCAAAAATCACATAACCTCCAAAATTTCGAAAATGACTGTCTTGTAAGCTCATACCATTTTAAGAAATGAGCAACCGCAAAAGAAGAACATTACTTTCTCAGTTTCATAAATAAAAACATGCCTTCTCATTCAGCTCTTGCACGGCCGGAAGATCACTATCCACTTGTGAATCGACATTCTCGCGGCTTTCATCATTGTCATTAACACTCTCTTCTTCCTCTTCTATAAAATCCTGGAATGAGCTTATATCATAGGTGAATCATGGTAATCATAATGCGGAAACTCTTCCGACCTCCTCAAGAACAGGATTATGCTTAGGTCGGCGTTCCCTTCTTGGCTTCGGGGATCGCAACGCAAAATCGTCATCCCATTCGTTTTCGTAAAAGCGCTTGAAAACCAAAATAGTACACGTTACCATAAATACTCAAAGTCCAGTAATCAGCTAAAGTAAGCAAGCAAAACAATCTAAGAATGAAATATAACTTCTAGAAAGAGAGAAAAAGAGTTCACCTTTACTTCCGGATGATGATCAACGCAGATAATGGCCGTGTGATCAGAAGGACGCGTTCGAAATGAGCGTCTCAAGCTGATTCTCTTTGGTCTAAGCCTGGTTTTTATCGGCATGGAACGTCTCTGGAAAGACATGCTTTGCTAAGTATAGATTCATCTAAGAAAAAAAACAAATGCAACAAATGCAGGGAAGAATTGATCAATACGTCGACGTATAGGTGCGTTATTTCGAAACCTCCTCGCCCGTCGCGACAAAATCGCACCAAAATCCGGACGAAACTAAAATGATGACTCGCGCCGGTCCACCGGATTTTGCCGCGAACGTCCATTTTGTGGGCGGATCCCCTGCGCGAGTCAACCGCGAGTGTCTGAGCATGGCGAAGACGCAGAGTCGTTCCGAGACCCTCATGCTTAAAGCATTGCGGCATGCGCGCTCTGACCGTGGAAGTGCTCGTCCATGGGGAGGCCGGCTGAGCGCTGCTTCGCTTTAAAATTTCGGGGGTTAGAAGTAGTAGAGAAAGATCGAACTGTGGCCCATAGATTCTTTATGGGGGTTCCTACCCTGTGACCTTGTTTTGGCACGGGTCTCATTTTGCCGATCCACTGCCTTTAAGTCAATATTAGTTTGTGTATTGAGTTTCGGATTAGATTTGGTTTCATGAAGCAGAATTTTTTTTCAATATCATACTTTTCATCGAGTGTTTACATCTATACGTTTGGCGCAATGAGTAATTTGGATGCTTGCTTAGCCCTGAAAACTTGTATTTTGATTGCAAAAAACCATTCGCAACTCCTGTATTAAAGTATCAAAGTACTGGCTCGGACTGATCATCGCCAAAACAGTTTAAGTGCCGAGTATGCAAAAGTAATGTAATACATACTTTACAGTGTACGAAATCAGGATTTCATTAAAATTGGAATTCAAAGTTCGGTAGTGAATTTAGTCTAACTATAAAAATTTGTATTTAGGGGTAATCTGCCATGCTGGTTCCAAATACGATAGTGGTTTTGCGTAGAATGAAACAGAGCTTCGTGATGGGAATAAAATCAATGTTCAGTGGCGATATTCGGCAAATCAGAAGAAAAAGTTGGATTTGGGGGTTTCTAAGGGCGCTCTTTACGAATATGTTAACGGTTCAGTACAGAATCCTCAAATTCTTCTTCAAATTAAGCTCTGGAAGCAACGAATGCAGAATGATAATTCAGTAGTTGCTCTTTGAGGAAACCAATTGTAGTGTCCAGAATAATTTAATAACACACAGATTTCAATGATAGCTGGGAATCTTTTCCAATACTTGAAACTACTTGAAACTTGTTTCAGCTTCATTGAATTTTTTCTTACTTATTTCAAATTTTATTTCGCGGTTTATATCATTATTTTCTAGTCGTTCTAAAAGTAGCATTCTTTTTCATTTGTTTTCCAGTTCTATCAAAGTTGCAGTGAAGTTTATGAAAAAGTCAGAATTGCAAAAGAAAAAATTTTTGAGTTTCCGGCTAAAACATTAGCATATTCGAAAACAGCATCGCAGAACCCTCAAATGACAATTTTAAGCTTTTTTGCCAGAAAATTTTTGAAAACAAGATTAAATTTTAGAAAGAGAAAAGTTTGAGTTTTCACGCAAAACCACCAACATATTCGGAACCAGCATGGCAGATTACCCCTAAATACAAGCTATTACCCTAGTTGGACTAATTTCACTGCTAAACTTTGAATTCAAATTTCAATGAAATCCCGATTTCGTACCTGTAGGATGATGTCGTGTCTGTCGTGAGCAAGATCTGCTTGTCTTCGGTGCAAAT